TCATTATTTTTGAGTCAGTCAGGGCAACATTTATTGGCCTAATCCTAAACTTAATAGCTGTAGATTGATTGTTTTTGGACTGCTTGTGCGTGACAAAATGCTCTTGATATTCTTTTGTAAAAAACTTAGCTGATTTTAATTTACAAAGTGCAATTTTAATTGGATATTATATTATTTATTCAGAGCAGTATCATAGCAGCATCTTGAAGTAGCTTCCATGTCTCAATAGGTATGAACATACCTCAGGGCAGTTGTTTTTCTTCGCCTCCAGAATTTTTAATATAATATTCATCATACTCATCATTTCTTGTGTGCAAATTACCGATCAATGTTTAATTATTGAAAATACTACAACCCTGATTTCAACATGATTATATTAAAGTTAATTGTAACACAAGCCAAACATTTTATACTAATTTTGTACTATTCACATTTACAATCGAAAAAACCTATTTAAAATTTCAACATAATATTGATGATATAAAGCATTTAGGCTTTCTGAAACAATTTTATGATTTTAGTAATTATCTATGAAGGCCACAAAGATTATGCATACTTCTAGAAAACATAATTTAGTTTATTCAATATATTTTTATACTAATGGAATACAATAGAACCTCTTTCTAATTATTAGTATCTTGACATCTACTTAGGTCATAAGCTTCAATGCAATAATCAGAATGATAATCTCATATCTAACTAACAGGATGGTTGGACTTAATCCTAATGTTGCTGGGAAGGAGTGGCTCACGCATTTACAAGACTTATATTCTTCTTATCATTTTAAAATATCAGGGTATAGGCATATACACTGCAATCTGCATGGGCTTGTTAACTGGTGCTAATGTTGAAAAATGTAGAAAAAATAAAAAGGGATGGGTTTAAAAAGAGCTAATTAACATTAAGAATTTATAATTACTACGCATAGTCGCCAGTTGAAATTGGGTTACGCATGATATTTATTCAATTTATTAAGTTTAATATTATCAAATTTTATTTGACATCAAATTGCAAATATAACCATATACCAGTTGTGCCAATAGATGGTCATAATGTGATGTCATCATGACCATATTTAGGCATGTAACATATTTTTATCCAATAAAATTTGAGTCTGGAAATGGCTTTAATTATATTCAGTGAATGCCAACATCAACCAAATTTTCACACTTGTATTTATAAAGCTAATCAATACATGGGCAATTAATTTCAATTTACATTGATTAGCCAACCATAGAAAATACATGGTTTTAAAAAACCATCTCACTTGTCACAAGCTACATAAACATATAAAAGTGATACATCTCCCTCCAATTAAAGACTATCTCCAATTAAGGACCACCAGAAGCAGTCTTCAATTAGAGGGAAACCTGTGTATTATAACGTAATGAAAACTGATAGACGTTTTTCAGTAACATCTTTTTTTTAATGAGTAACATGCACTAATATTATAAATCATCATTATCACTATCATTATTACTATTACTGAATAGCTAGATATATTCTCTATCATTTATAATTTTTTTTTAAATTTATAAAAAAAGAAATGTATTTCTGCTAGATATTGTCCATTGCTTTACTAAACTAGAGACTCCATTGCTATAGTCAAAAGATAAATAATTCACTTAGTAATATGTTAGATTGTTTATTATTTATACTTTGCGTAAGTTATCTGAAAGGGCACTAAAACATGATGTACGTGGTCAAAACACAATTTACAATATCATCAACAGACAGAAATTAAAATGCTCTATATCAACTATGTCGGATCTTTTTATTCCTATGGAGAATCATTTCCCCAGAGCTATTCACTTGAAACAAAAACATCTAATCATGCTTCAAAAGTTATCACTTGTAAAAAATTTAAAAGGATTGTGAAATGGAACACGATATGTTTCAAGTACTGAAGCCCATGAAGTCTAAATTTGAGAATCTAGAATACTTGATATACAATTTTTGCATTAAATTATTTAAACATTCTATGTCCTTTTGTTCTGTCTGGTTCTTATTTTTTTTATTGTTTGCTTTATTGAATAAAGAAGGATAGGCAGCTATTATTGTTTGAGCTTCCTTCAGCCCATTCCCCATCTGGGTAATTTTAAGCTATTAATAATAATGTTAGACTTAGCTTTTCTTGCCAACAAGGTCTCTAAGCACTTCACATTTTTACCTCGGCCACTGGATAAAGCACATATGGTACATATACCGTACTCAGGTCCTTGGGGAAAATTCCATAATGTTGCAGCTGTAATCAGTGCATTTTGTGTTTGAACCTACCAAGTACCCACTTGTTCTCCTGGGTGAAGAGAGACAACAACCATAGGTAAAGTGAATTGCCCAAGGACACAAGCAAATTGCGCAGCAACAGACTGAACCCCCGACCTCAAGTTTGAGAAGCACAACCACAACCGCTGCGCCAAACCGCTTCTACAACACGACTCCACTCAATTGACATCCACTGACCTCAACTATTTGCTGGTAGTGCTCATGTTTCACTTGCACCCACGGTACAAGCAACTAGAAAAATCGCTAGGAAAAAAGTGCACGGAATCGTAATTGCTGAATAATTGTATTGGTTATATATAAAGATTTGGTCAAAGCCTAATTTTGACAAAATGTACTAGGAAATCAGCTGTTCTTTTCCAAAATGTGTGGACGGATTAATAGGCCAAATTTTTGCGCGGATGATATATTCCCCATTCAGGCCTTACTATACAGTCTGGGCTAGAACTAGCTGCCCTGAGCACTAATGCCAATTCATACTGTAGATTATCTACGTGTATAAAAGCATTGCATCATATAATCGTAATATAATTCACGCTGTTGCCAACAAAACGACAATCAACAGTAGCGGCCAAGTGTTACTACTGTCACATGGCAATTCAATAGCTTGTCAGGTACTTTGACCAAAAAGAGCATGGGCAATTGAAGGCAACTGGCAATAGGAGCACTCATGTCGCGTGACTCACTAGTTGCTGGCCAATTGCCAACGGTCAGCTGAAGTAAGCAAAGAGTTGAGCTGAGATGCATGGATGATGACATAAGCTTAGCTTAAGTGACCAGGCAGGCTTTTACAATAAAAATGTCACACTTCGAATTGTCACTCAATATAAAAAAATTCCCAAAAAATAGCAATGAACTGAATGAATTATTGATTGAAACATTATTTTCTTTCCATAAAATTAGTTTTTCTTCAGTTGCCTTGATGGGCCATTTGACACGGAAAAAAGTTGAAAAATGAAATAACATTTTGACAAAAGGGGTTCATATTCTGAATATTTTATTCCACATTGCTTTTCTTTCATTTTTATCAAAAACAATGATTAAGTATCAACAGTCGAAAAATTCTCCCATATTATTATTATTGAGATCAAATTAGAATACCCTCTCATGATCTACTAATAGGCTAGTATTCGACAATATAATTTTTTTTCTGAGATTAATATAATTAATATTACTATTCTCTCATGTGAAGGGTCTACCTAAAATAGTTAAAGGTCGGGGAAGGCCTACAGAAACAGTCACAGTATCCAACAACAGGTTGGCCCTAACTAGACAGGCCAGTGTACCAGCAAGCCAAACCGGGGGCCGGGCCTAGCTAGGTATACGGCCCCTACCCTACATACAGTACAGGCCCTAGACAAACATTATTAGCATGCCTAATTACTAGTTAGTAATAACATTAGTGATTGAGTAATAACAAGTTTATTACAATTATAAGTCGTTTAAATGGAATAAAATACACATCCTGACATACTCACCGCTAAATAATAATGTACTTGAGTGACTGTACAAAGATAGAACAGACTTCTTGCCTGACACTGGGTTGTTGTTGTGAACTAAAAACAAGAGAAGCCCACGCTTAGCTGCGCAGAGACAGCTGGAGACCGTGGGATCTTTCATTATCAAAATAATGTCACTTAATTAAATAGTAAATTTTTTTTAAAAATTATAATATTTAAAACATTATTTAAAGATCAAATATGAAGGTAGAAAGTGTTACTAAAATGCTTATGATATTTCTCCACATAATAATTGATAAAATATTTTAAATGGAGTGAGAATGTTTTTACCTGCAATATAATCGGACAAACCATTCCAAAAAAGGAACTATGAAAACAGAGAGAATTTTATTATTCTCCAGGGGTCATGATTTGAAGTTTTAATGTTTTCTTTTTAATTATGAAGTTTTTTATTTTGTCTTAGGGATAGCAACAGCGTGGTGCTTTACAAAACCTCCTTAGATGATAAGTGAGATAATACTGTACTATATAATAATAAACTGATGGATTTTTAAGCACTAAAAACAATCAATTAAAAGAGGAAAATAATTTTTCTGAATTCAAAAGACAAATTCTGAAATTACTTATAAAAATACTAACTGGTTAAACGAAAAGAAAGTATTTCAGAAATGTAAATAATACAAAATAATAACAGATATTTACAGGTACTAATTTAAAATTTATCAAAGCCTGGCACTAAGTGAAGAAAATCTATTGATCCAATACTTTTCCCTCTGCTCAATTTATTTGTGGTATATAATTGGACAAGTTGCGGTAGGGGTAAAAGAAAAACAGTCGGGGGAGAGGTGAAATTTCTTCCCATTTTCCCCTGCTGGGCCTCTCCTGAGCTTACTTGATGTAGGACTTACACCGTAATTCAGGGGTAGTGGTAAATAAATGAATCACTGATAAAAAATCTCTGAAAATTACAGAGAAACTGTGTATCATGATTTTATATATCTTTCGTACAGTATTTTCATTTTTTATCCAGGGGAAAATGCAGTTACAAAAATGCTGCTATTCGACAGACTTGGCAAAATAGATATATTGTTCTTACCATCATTATTGTAGATTAGTCGAATTTCTAAAAGTAAGAGTAGTTGATGAAAATTTGTGGTAATGTTCGAATACTTCAAGATACGGTTTCACTTATTTGTTGACGCGATTTGTTTAGCTGACGCAAATTGACTTAAGCGGACGCTTATTGCAAGGCGAAGCAATTACTCTTTGTTTTGGAAAACATTAGAAACTACTGTACTTGTGTTGAGTGTTTCTATTTCTCTTTCTTTTTTTGCTACCATTCTTAAACCATGCAATCCCAATCGGCCGATGAAAATGGTGAGAACAAAGTAAGTAAATTTAAATATCTGAAGTGAAATTCATATTCAGTATAAGCTAGGACGTCTTTTAATCAGATTAGCTAGGCTAGCTAGGGACCGGGGAGGCAAGGTGGAGCAAGAGAGGCACACTCCTCTTTCTTGCACACCCAGCCACTGAGCCAGGGACCTAGCGAGGCCTAAGCAGGGTTGTCCCTTACACTAGGCATATAAGCGCCATGAATAAGCACTGAATGGTGGACACCGGCGCTATAGAATTCCCCAGAATTATTGTTGATATGCAAGTGTAGTGTCAGTGATTTTTATCAATCAGATCAATCAGCCTATTCCATCCCATAATACTAAAAATTGAGGTCAGACACTCACTGCATGCGCCGACGGTAGTTGTCCGACACGATTCTACGGAGAACGCAAAGCCACTACACGCACATAAGGGATTTTGAGTGACACTCCATCCATACTGCCACCGATAATCAGCAGACGGGCTAACGCTCTCAGGGAGCATGGAGTTGGGATCGTTGCCCGACAGTCGTACGATGCAGTGAGTACGTTGCTTTACAGATCAGAATAATTACCTCCACTGATTTACCTATTGCAGGATGATGCTTCTGGACATGGCAGTACCGTTGCGAAACATTACAATGAACTTCAGGAATGTGGTCTTAAAGCTAGAGGGCAGAGTCGCATATTTTTCATGCGTAATTTCAATAACTGGACAAAGAGTATGAGCATTGGGGATACGTTGACTAAAATAAGGCAAGGAGACTGGAAGAAAAAAATATCTGTTCTTGACTTGTGCTGTGGCAAGGGTGGAGACCTCCTAAAATGGAAGAAGGGACAGATAAATCATTTAATTTGTGTGGGTGAGTGTAATTGATATTGCTTGACTTATCATGACTGCCGATTAACGCTGTTCAGATTCAGACAGAAAGATGAGGATTCCAACTAATTTGTATTAATTTGTGGCGTTTGTCATTTAAAAAAAAAAAATCAAATTGTAATTTTTTATATGTATTAATATTAAGGGATATGCTTTTAGTATGGTAATGTAAGGTATTTACTTACTATTAATACTTTTTATTTGACAAAAAACAAAGTTTGTTGCACAAGAAAAACCAAACCAAAACATGTTACTTGTATCATAATATTTCTAATTCACAGTAGCAATTATTTTATTGTTATGCATTTATTAAAATAATATAGTATAACTTTTTGTGTATATGCAAACTATACTGTTGATATTAAAGTTTTTTTTATTTTGTTAGATATTGCGGGTGTATCTGTTGAACAAGCCAAATCACGCTATCAGGAAATGAAGCAAAAAGCACAAAATGATCGATACCATCAGAATGTATTTAGTGCTGAGTTCTACACTGCAGATTGTTCAAAAGTGAGTGCTTTGTATTTCATTAAGCTGTCTTCATTCATCCTGTACCCAACTTTTGGAGTTACCTAGAGCCTAGTTTCCATAAAATCCCTGCACACTATCGCAGATAGCTATTGGTGATGCTGATTGGCCGGTCGGGGCAGTTCTAATAATTTATGTGCAATGAAATGCTTTCTCCTAGTGCTGACACTTAGCAATTAACAAAGCAAACTGGAGGATATTTCATGGTTATGTTTCTTTTTGTTTATGTTAAGTGCATAGAGGCAACTTTCTTGTGTTATGTTATATAAGTACTTATTATTATTATTCTTATTAATATTATTATTATTATTATTATTAAATTATTATTATTATTATTATTATTATTATTATTATTATTATCTAAGCATGGCCAGCTAAGAATGAACATCATGTGCTTTGAACTTCTGAAAACAAGTTCAATAACCAGAATGGAAATCAGACAAATTTTCTGTGTGAAAACAGATTTTCATAATCATTTTATTAAATTTATTATATGTAACAATCGTCTGATAAATTATATTGTTCTTTTGAATTTGTAGACACGGATCTGTGAACTATATGAAGACCCAGACACCTACTTTGATTTGTGCAGTTGCCAGTTTTCATTCCATTACTCATTTGAGAGCCTGTCACAAGCAAGAATGATGCTGAGAAACGCTTGTGAACGACTCAAACCGGGTGGTTATTTCATTGGAACAACACCAAATGCTAATGAACTAGTGTAAGAAATACCAGCATTATTTTTTGGTGTAAAGGGGAAAGTGGCATATCTAGGGATATTAACATGAGTTACACATCTAGATGTGTATAAGAGACAGATGGGAAAGTGAGGGAAGGTAACAGGATAAATAAGGTGATATTGAATGATTTTTAACGACTTGAATTTCTATTGGTGTTTGATGGATAACAGTTTTTTTTCTGAATAGGATTACCTCCTCTCCAACAACAACTCTCCTCAATTCACCAACGGAAGGAGATTTAATATAATACTGTTAAATCTTTTTAATGGAAAGCGGTTGGTTATTATTATTATTATTATTATTATTATTATTATTATTATTATTATTATTATTATTATTATTATTATTATTATTATTATATTATTGATAGATCTCTTTGTTATTCACAGAAAAAGGTTACAAGAGAGCGAAGGTGTTAGCTTTGGTAATGAAGTCTACAGAATTACTTTTGAAAATAAAGATTCTTTCCCACTGTTTGGCTGCAAGTATGACTTTCATCTTGATGGTGTTGTGGACTGCCCAGAATTCCTTGTTTACATGCCTTTAATGCAAGAGTAAGTATAGGACGGAATATGTTCATTCGGTCTAACAAAATTTGAGTTGCCCAAGCCTGAACAGCCATGTACAAAATACAAAATCCCATTGATTAGTATGGAACTGGAAAGGTCATTCTTGGATTTTTAGATAGTAATAACAGGAAAAAGCTCCCTCCCCTTTGCAATGTTATGACAGGAAGGCCTAATCCAAATCTGGAAAAGGTAGTTACAATTGTAAATTAATCCTGTTATCAACAAATATTACCAATAAAATCTGGTTTCCATAAAATCGCTACACTGTTGTTGCAACAGTCTGTACGATCCCTGATGCAATCAGGAAGGCTCCCTGATTTGAATGACCAATCGCAGAAAGCTTTCGGTGATAGCATGTAGCAATCTTTTATGGAAACCAGGCTTTATCCACACTACAAACATTAAACTGACCTAGGGAGCCATAATCAAACAATTTGACTGGGATAGGTAGCCTCAAATCATAAGAACAAATGTGCTTTTATAAAATGAAGGTGTTTATAAAGGGTGTTGTGTTCATCCTTTGAAAAATTCATCTTTATTGGGATATTGTGTGTATGTCTTCAGGTTTGTAAATGCATTTATACTTCGTTTTTGCAATAGAATGGCCAAAGAATTTGATATGGAGTTGGTTTGTCATAAAACATTTAAGGAGTATTTTGATGAATATAGTTCAACCAAAGAGGGCGCTTCACTTTTGCAAAAGATGAAAGCTTTACAGGTAGGTACATCTCGTCATATTTTGCATTTATTTTCCATCTTGTATTTAAGTCTACTTCCATTATCAACCAAGATTTATTTACCTTCAGATTTGATTGGTATATTTGAGAAAACCAACAGATTTAATTTTTTTTTTTATATTGGCAGCATATTTCACTTGAGAATTCTGATGAGTACCAAGGCAAAAGTGAATTTCATCACGTTGAGGAGAAATATTCTTCAGTTGAAAACAAACGTTCTCATATTGTGAGTATAAATTCATGAATTTTCACAAGAAATCAATATTTGCTAGTTCAGTGGGCCGTCGTGGTTCTACATGATCGTCCCCTCTATTGCATTCTTGAGTACACATTAATTTCAATATTTATCACTAAAATTTAGGGAACACTTTCAAAGTCTGAGTGGGAAGCTACAAGCCTTTACTGTGTTTACATATACAAGAAGTCGACTGGTACATCAGCAGCACAAGAAGATACAGGCTCTGAACATGAACAACAGGAAGACAGAGATGATGAAGATTTAACAACAAATCAACTTGATGTAGAACCTTCACCATCCAAAAAAAGAAAGCTTTAACATCTTTTTTAAATTGAATATTTTTTAAATGAATCATGGAAAGCCTATCAAATGGATAGTAAATTGTTGGTGCAACAAAAGGAAATTTTCTTTTATACTTTTGGAAGAGACGTTGAAATCATACAACTTTTAAAGAACAGGGATTATTTCTCAGTGGCAGATCCAGGAAGGGAATCAATACCACTATGGTTGGGGCTGAAATAAGAAAATTATGATTATGGCACTCTCAGACATTCGAATATAATTTACTTTTTTCTCAGGTTTTATGAACCTGGGCCCCCTCTTGAATCTGCCACTGATGACCATTTCAGTATCTCTCTCAACAGTACAATGTACTATAAAAAAGACTGTTTTATATTTTGGACATTTCTTTGTTACTGAGGCTTTTGTTTATTAGTAAGCAAGTTGTAATTATTATTATTATTGACAAATTTGTCGAAGAGGAGACTTGTACCTTGTTTCGCAGCCGTGACTTACAGTTGTACATTTGTAAAGGATTAGTGCACATTCTGTTCCCCACCTTTAGAACAATGCTACGTTTGGCACTCCGGAAATAACCATTAAGTGTACCAGAAAAGAAACATTAGATATATTTCAAACCACAGTCAATCTTTATTGCACCTAGTAGAAAATAAAATTACATCATTTACATGATTGAATTACCAGGGATAAATTCAGATAGGGAGGCAGAGTGGGGCTAGTAGCCACCGAAAATAAATAAAAGAAAGAGAAAAATAGGTGCACGGAATTGAAATTCCATGTATAGTGTCTATGATCAACATTTCTGAACAGTAATCTCAAGCACCACCTTGTGCTTTGCATGTCGTATGGCCCCACCCAGATTTTTAACATTGATTAAACTTGTATTACCATGATGATATATAATACTATATCACCATGATACAAATGTTGATTAAAATCACATTAATGTGACATTTCTAGGACCATGAGGTTATAATATTGTATTATACTTCTATTGTTAATATTAATTTATTATTAAACCATTCACACTAATTATTTAAATGTGTTATTTGCACTACTATACCAGTACGAAGGTGGTCAAATTAGGTACTAATACATACATGTTACTACTGCATTTGTACTTGGATGTTGCTTTATAAAACATTTGCTGTCCAGGATAATAAATAACAAAAGCCTCTAGTATTTGTCTTAAAGTATGTCTTCAAAAAATGTTTAAATACTTTTCCATTGTCTCCTTTCCCGACACAGCATCCACACTATAAAATATTGAGCTAGCACCTTTGTACTTATAAGCAGTAATCTCTCTGTTGTGCATTCAGGAACTCAACTGCAACATAAGCATTTTACTTTATCCATAAAATATCGTATCGCCAAACATTTTCCTAATACAGTACATACACGTATTGTCTATATACAAAAATCTCGCACTTGGAATGTATTTTGTAGTGGTTCATTATCTGGTGGGTTGGAACCAATCCCAAATCTTACTAGGGCACAGTAATACATCCTACCTATATAAAGATATATATATGTGAAGATTACCCTCCTACAATATACTCTACTTTGCACAGTAATTAATACCCCCTTAACTCTCATATATATGGGTAGATTAATGAACTTCATCAAATTCCAAGTACTATGGGGGATTTTATAAACCCCATGCAACTCCCAAGTATACAGGTACATTAATAAACCCCCACCCACATAAAAATATTAATATATATTTTTATTTAATAAATACAGTATTACTATTTCCTATTATATTCATTTAATAAATACAGTATTAATATTTCCTATTTTATATCAGTGTCTACAAGTATACTTCCAAACATCTATTTCAACAATCGTTTCCAAAACTCCTTCAGTTATGTATATTTCTACATAATATATCACACATAAAGAAAAGGGCTTCTATGTGAAAATCACATTAATACCCAGTCATTGGAAATATAAAAACATTGTCTCTAGAACACAAATTCTTAAATTAACCGCAGTAAATCCTATCAAACAAGGACTTCAGTGATAGCTTTATATGCCAAATATTTAGCACCAAACCACTTCTACATTCAAACTTACTTCTTAACCTCTGTTCACATTGGATTAATTTTGACAAATTAATAAGGGTAACTTTACCTTGTTCAAATTGTACTCCTGTTCGCACAGGAATTTAAATACGCAGTAGCTTTTGCCAAGCCACACCTGATAGCACTCTGATCTTAATGAAATAGCACTATAGAAATGATGTTATGTATATATAATTATATATATGTATTAGGTGCCTTGCACATGCTACACAAGCAACCAGTGTTGCTTTTGAACCCTCAATGGCAATCGCTGTGTCAACTGTTCTTTAATAAGTTATGATATCTCTTCCTCATCAGTTTCTGATGTACGTCCTTGTAGCTGAGAGTACCATCTATTTGTAAGCCTTTTCATTTCCATTTGGCCGTGATGCAGTTCCTGAATAAAAACAAACGTTAGGAATTAATATCTTTCACCCCTACATATGATTCTTCTAGGCTAAAGGTATGTCCAGATTATCAAATTGTCTTATTTAGTCATAATGCGCTATATATGGTCATGATGTGATGTCATCATGACAATATTTAAGTATATCACATGGTTTTGTGAAATAAAATTACAGGGCTTCACACATTACATAGACAAATTACCTCATGTGTAAATCGTCTTGTAAAGAAGGGGATGAAATACTTGGTGTCCCATCGCACAAAGCCTCTCTGGTTTGGCTTCACATAATTCACTTCATACTCCTCTTCTGTTAACTCTGATAGGTGATCTGCATCAACTGCACTCCCCTGTAAAATTAAATGTTAAGACTTGGCAAACAAGTACAATATAATCAACTTAATCTTTTATATCAATGTGGATACATAGAGCCTAGAGGCATAGCACCCTCTACAATATGGAATCAGCTCTCTTAATATACTCAATCACTACCTAATTTCAACAAAAGTGGCTTGCTGATATCAAAACTTGTTTCCTATAACATGAAAGTTGCATTAGATAGGCCAAATTAGAATATGGTCAATTTATATAATATTCTTTTAGCAGTGGTTCGGGGCCCTGGGTAATTCTTTGTTGGTTTGGGGCCTGTACAGTATATGCATTGATATGGGAATGTGAAGTATTTATATATTTTGTACCTACCATTTCTTCTGTTTTACTGAACTTCACATGTTTCTTGGGTTTTTGACTTTCATCCGATTCCAGTAACTGTTAAAAAGTGCAAAAAATAACAAGTTTATGATGTCACATTAAACTAGTTGTTAAAAAATAATTGGTATTATTTCACCAATTAATAACAAATTGGGTAAGTTTTTAGCATTTTTATATTGTTCTTAAATCATTCCAATTCATTTTTATGCAATAACAATTAACATAAATAAATCAAACCATCTGAGCATATATATTTAGTATATATTTTATGGTTCTTACCTTTAGTAATGGCATGGTCGAACCACCTAAGATGATTACGGTGAACAGCACAATAACAAGAGTTGTAGTGACAATGACATGATGTGCCTCATCTTCAAATTCCAAGTGAAGACTTAATGCATAAGCAATAGCACCTCTCAAACCTATCAAAAAACATTTTTAATTTTCACGATTTTTAAATTTCATTACATTAAAAAATGCATACTTAATGGTAAAAGGTCACAAAGGTCACAATCAAGTAACTACCTATGACCCCCCCAAAGCTACTGAAAAAGAAACAGATTTTTGTAATTCTCATGTTTTCTCGTTTTTGGACAAAATTACGATTGTTTTCTCAGATGATATTTGAGGCATGTCGTGGCGTAATGTCTAGTATTGAGTAAATGAGCTATAAAATATGAGAATTCAAAATATTGCCTAAAAATCAAAAATTGTTTTTCACTATAGATCAATAGGTTAATGTCTTATTAATCATGTCCTAAAGTATTGGTTCTGGAAGTGGTTAACAAATTGTTTATTTAACATTATTTTGAGAGTTCATTCTATTAAACAATGTATGCACAAATAACTTTGAAAGGCAATACTCAAAATCATGTTTATCTTGACTCTAAGAGTACTGTACTTTCATTTCCCAATAACTTAGGCTTGAAATGTCCAATTTGAATGAATGACCCCTCATTTTAAAGATCACATACTCAGGTATGTGAAAATACCAACAACTTGAAATTCAATTTTTGCTCCAACTTAGCCATTTTGCTACAACATGCCTCATTTTATAGAAAACATATGAACAGAGTTCCTGTGTAATTGATGTTATTTCATTCTGCCTACAACCCTACCACAATGCTGTATACAATATTACTAAATGAAGGTATTAGTCATTCACTTCAGCCCTACAAGCAAACATATTTGATCATAAACAAATTTCAATATCAAGGAAACCTACCACTGAACCACATGATAAACTGCATTTTGCGGTTAATTTTGTGTTCTCTGAAGTAATTGACAATAAAGGAGAGTGGGAAAATGTTCAGTGCTCTGGCTATCAAACACAAAAACTGTAAAGGAAAAAAGTTCAAATTTAAAATGTTGAGAAACACTAGGAATAAACTTTGTTTGCTAGGTTATTGGTTTACGTAAAGCAAAATCATAAAGAAATAACAACTTACCAAACTCCAAATAACAAGTGCTGCTTCAAACTTATGATTAAAACTAAATATTGCAAGACCAAGATAAGCAAACACACAGGTTTCTAAAATGAAATCATAGCAGTTGAGTTATTAAATACTAAAATAATACATGAAATGAACTTGGTAAAACTATATTATAATTCTAACGAACTGTATACTACCAACTTAAATGCATTTACAAGACTGGATTCCTATAATACTATCACCGCCATATCAACATAGGCATGTCTCATGTAGTTTTGATATTAGCATCCATGTTGGGGTGCTTTTAGATTAGAAGCGTTCATGTAAATGCTGTATTATTAGCATCCATGTTGGAGCGCTTTCAGGTTATTAGCATCTACGTTGGGGGATTTTCAGATTAGTAGCATTGATTTAAATGCTGTATTATTCGCATCCATGTTGGGGTGCTTTTGAGGTCATTAGCATCTATATTCTTTGATGTTATTACAAATCTGTCCACTCCATCAAGTTTGTTGTTAACGATACCTATAGTTGTTGTTATGGATCTCATCAATTATAGATATATCACAAAAACTTTATAGTGTGGGCAGACCATTTACACTAGTTATAACTGTAATGACAGCAAGACAAATAAATAGAAGAGCTGAACAATTTTTCTTTTAGATATTGTGAACTTACCACCAACAAAGGCCATTGTCCTGAATGTATGCTGAACTGTGATCTGGGTGATGGGGGACAAATTGTAATGAGTGTAATGGGACATGGTAATACCAGCAAACAGGATTGACATTATCCCTAAAGATAAAAAAAAAAAACAAGACAAACTATCAATTATTTATTTAATTTTATTTCTTTAGGCACATGGCCAAGGAATACCAATAGCAACTTAATCACCGTCCTATTAGATACGTGGCAATCCCTTCATATGACAAACATATAAACATAATGCTCTTCATAAACTCATAATGAGTCTTATTATTGACCTCCAGCTTGGAAAGTATGGTTAGTTACAATAAACAATAGCAAATATTTATACTTAGTAAACAAAACAACATGTGGACTGGCTTAATTTTGGAACCTCTTAGGCATGCATGCTTAGTACATACAAAAGAATAATGCAAGTGGAACACATAAATGTGAACAGAAAGTAAATAACAAAACAATCGAGCATATGGACATGAATCAGTTTCTGAATAGCTTTGCATAAATAACATCATGGTCTTGTAGATATAGCATATTCCTATGGCGTATAGCATAATACCACATAATCTGGCTGTAATTCCAAAATAAGTCTAGAACTCAAATTTGAACTAAGTCCATGCTGGAGAGCATACAAAATGCAATGTTAATTATGGTTTGCTTGATATTTCTTGGGTCCACACTTACAACTTTTCTATAATCCATTTATAGCAATATTGTACAATTTTGTTTAAATTATTCTTGAAAGTAATCCAAAATAATTGTTATTGAACAATAACATTTCAGCTGGTATCTTGGTTAGTCTAAAAGCAATGGTAAGGTACAGTAACAAAGAAATTTGGCTTATCTCCAAAAATAAATCTAAATTATTTATGATACACAATGCTGTCAGCCTTTCTAGTCTTCTTTTGTTTTTATCAGGAATAGATAAAGGATCATGATTTTGAGTGTAAATTACCTGACAATTTGATTCCTTCTGCAAATCCATACGGTAAATATGAAAACATCAACAGCATTGCCAGTTCCAGAGACGGTGTCTTCCTCAGGTCAATATGTTTCAAGATGTACTCAAATTAAAGAAAGCAACAAACTTGTCACATAGACACTTTCATCATTGATTTTGTTCACACTAATAAACAACTTATTAAGCATTAAAAATATTTGTTGCCCAAACACAACTGACCAAAAACTAGATAATCTAGGGTTAGGGGGTTTACATGACAGAGCAGTACATGTATAATGGTAAAGTGGGTCACATTCCAAGCTTTAATATTAAATGTGATACACTGACCATATATTGTAGGCTATGTGGTTAACCATTTAACAAACCAAAAAAAAATTAGTGATAGGCCTATTGAATATGCCAGTGGCTAACGGCACTGCCGCAGTGCGAAAAAAAGCTGATGTTTTTTGTCGGAACTGCCGCGGTGCGATAAAGCTGCTGTTTTCTACTGGCACTGCCGGAGTGCGAAAAAGCTGCTGTTTTCTATCTGCACTGCCACTGTGTGAAAAAGCTGTTGTTTTCTAATGGCATTGCCGCAGTGCGAAAAAAAATGCTTTTCGGTATTCAACATGGAGCACTGTACACAAAACATCGGCTTTTGATGCATATTGTTTTGATGTAATGTAGTCTGTAAAAAAAACTGCACTAAAACCGCAATATATTAAGTAGTAAAAAATTTTCAGTTTTGTCTGCAAAACCATGGTATTTTGTGTCTAATATAATCCCTATAATTAAAGACCAGCACTCAACAGGTGTCCCAAGTTGGAAGAATCTACATCTGGGAAATCTGTTAAATGAGTTTTTTTAAGAAATCTAAATATATATTTTGCTGTGCATGGTGATAACCATTATGATTGCACTAAATTCTGGGAGACATCTGGTAATACAATAGTAAAAACTTGTAAAAGCATGAATTTGCGGGAGATGGTTTATTTTGTGAGATTCTTGCTTGCTTGTGGGAGGCCTTCCTGCAGATTTCTAAGAGACTCTATTCTAAGACTCTGCTGGAGACTGGGACTCCTGGCCCCTAATGCCATCTATCGATCAAAACATCCATTTTGATTAACTAAACAGCAGCTTCCAACTGTGACAGTGCCGGTAGAAAACTGCAGTTTTGCTGGCACTGCGGCAGTGCCGATAAAAATAGGATCTTTTTGCGCACTGCGGCAATGTCAATAGAAAATAACAGCTTTTTCACACTGTGGCAGTGCCAATAGAAATCAGCAACTTTTTTGCACTGAGGAAATGGAGATAGAAGACAGTACCTTTTTCGTTCTGTGGCTGTGCCGATAGCAAACAGCAGATTTTTTTCGCACTGCGGCAGTGCAGATAGTCTCAGCCATTGAATATACTCATTCATCTATCCACACATCTATCCATCATTCCATACATTGATGCATCAATCTAGTCATCTATCAGTCCATCTATATGTACATTACATGATCATTGTAAATTATATGTGTAATTGAATAAAGGATATGAGAGCACTGAGCAGGCCAAAGCCGATTCCAGTTAAGGCAGACGTGATGAACATAAAGAAGAAATACATAACGCCGTTGAAAAATGCTTCCGCTGAGCTGATATCGGCCATCTCAGGGGAATTCAACCTCATTACTGTGCTGGAAAAAATATAGATGTAAACGAATAAATAAAACTTGTTGTGAAAATAAAATACAATGATTATAATGAGAACATTAGTAATAGTAAAATAGCAATAATTAAAATTAAATAATAATAAAACATATTTATGATAATTATAATGAAAAAGTAAAATTATAATAATCAGTATTTTTATAACTTGTTGGAAGCAAATGGTTGTTATTCATTCATTAATTGATTGTACTCGAGCAGTTGAGTACAGTTCGCAATCCAATGTGAGATCACCTTAAAGTGTGGGGGGTCTGAGGGCGAGAGTTTCGGTTGATTGCATTGGATGATACATTGAATTGGAGGGATCTTCAGTTGGAAGATAAACTGTATCTGAATTTACTGGTTAAAATGCTTCTGCCATGTGTCATCCTGCTTGCCTCAAGTGAAGGAGTTTATATTTAAATAATCAAAATTTAACTGAACTTACTTGCTCATAACAATGGAAACTGCATCATTAAGTATGCTCTCTCCAAACACCATCATGTTAAGCAAGGGCTGGGCATCAAGGGCTGAGAAAATAGCCAATGTTGCCACTGGATCTACAGCTGATATCAATGAACCAAATGCCAGACTCTCTACCAAGCTAAGTTCATAAGCAACACCAGCCTAAATAATTATAAAACAAAAGATAACATTAATTTAATGATAATGAGTTATCTATTGAAAATATGTTAATATTGGCACACTCATATTTAAGTCTATGATCTGTAATTTTAATTTCATGAGTATAATCAGTCCATTACAATAATCAAATGTACATATATTTTTATTATTTTCCTTTGTTAGATTTCACACTACATATGTTTAATTTGAACACCACCAATTTTAGTAAAGTTTAATTTTACTTACTTGTCCAAGAAGATATACTCCTCCTCCAATGACCATTGCTGATATGAAAGTTCCAAAAACAGCAAAGACAAGAATCGAGCCAAGGTTTTGAAAAAAATTGCCCTGAAAGTGCAAGTTATTTAAAATTCACAGATCAGTAAGGATGATTAGATCATAATCATGATGATGATGATAATGATGATTGATAATTATGGTGGTGGTGATGATAATCCTGATTTCTTCAGTAATCAGTAAGGTATGTCCACACTAAATTTTGTGAGGCAAATATGTGTGATCTGCCCATATATGGGTGTGATATGAAATCATAATGCCCGTATATGTACAAACCACACAGGTGTTTATTGCATAAAACTTTATATATGCACAGATCTTATCAGATCTACTGAGATTTCAGAACTAATTCAGGAGTAAATTTATTATGATGATACTGATTATGATGATTATTGATTAGAATATTTAGTCTTATCTAAATATGTGTGGTAATTTGTTAATTGTAGCTACTGTATATTCTGATTTTAAATATTTAATAACAGTTTCATAGAGAAGAAATTAATTTAGATTGATGCTATAATGAATGTACTGTCAGTCACTCATAAATTCCTTACCTTATGTAATGAGTAACCAGATTCAAATATAATAGGTGGCAATAAAACTAAAAAGAATGTGGTTGGATCTAAAGTCTCTTCTTTCTGTGAAAATATTAATTGTATAATAAATACTAATTTATTTTCATTATTAAATCATTATCATCATCCTAATTATTATTTGTTATTACTGTATTAAGTTAATTTACAGCTTTTAAACAATTTTTGTTTCCGATGTTTGCATAATTGTTATTCACATATATTTATAATAGCCCTTGTCAATATACCTCATAAAATATTTGCTTGAATAAATAAATAATAAGTAGAACATAAACCCCAAAGGACTTCAATGCAAACTATTGTTCATGCGCTTTTTATTATCATTAATATTATTATAATATATTCAAAATTTTACAGAGCAGTATAAAAATACCAACTTAAAACTGGTACATTCATTCATTTAAAAAATAGACAACCAATTTAAATTCAAGGATATTCAGTAATTGTTCATAATTGCTATTTTTGTAATAAAAATGTTAACATCTGTTGCCAATAATACAACGAAAATTCAATCAATATTTATTTATTCTACTATGTACAACATAATGAAGCAAAAATAGTAAGCAAAAGGTGGATCCATGAAATTGAAATACAGGGACTGAGACCCCCAGAAAGTCAATAGGGAGCTTTATATTGCATGACGACGGTAGAACGTAGAACACAATGACTTCACTAAAAGTCATCTGCGGATGCAAGAACGTCAAGATTCTAGGACATAATTTGGCCAAATCTAGGTATACAGAGAACATAGCACACCCAGTAAAATGGTTACGCATAAATTATTCCGTCCTAGATGGCTGGAAATGGCACTCTCTGACTGATAATTTGAATATGATTTTCCTTTTCCCCATTTTTTTAAAATCATAAAATATTTAGTTGAATACATATATGATATTAAGTAACTAAAAAAATAAAAATAATCTTTAAAAATAATAAAATAAATAAATAATTAACGAAAGAAAAAAAACTAAGTAATTATTTTAGGTTTGATGCTGCATGTCATACGTAAGAAGAACTAACCGTCCAATCAGTGAGGTTCTGGTTGTTCAGGATCATTAGCAGTAACCCAATGACTGCTCCAAGGAAGATCACTGCCACACTCTCAGGTAAATAATGAAACTGATGCTTAATGAGTGTATGCACAAGAAGGATTGAAATTCCTGGAACAGGAAAGACAAGTGTATGAATTCTCGAAAAATTAATAACAATTATTAACTTATGGAAGACACACCTCAACTCAAAATAACTGGTGAATAAGTATCGGGTTATCTTATATAATCAGTATTGTATTGAGAGATCATCAATATAAATATAAAAGGAAGTGGTTATTCTTCCGACTTGCCGTAGCGCATTATTTTTTTATCCACTTTATTCCAGTAATAAATTGCCACTAACAGGTAAAATGAAACGTAAATATATAATTTAAAAATACAATAAAAACATTAAAATATGAAAAACAACTAGACAAATGAACGGATTAAGATAAAAAATTATTCATCATGTAAAAAAAAAAACCTGTTATGACCAACATTAAATATGCTAGGCTATCTTCACAAGAACTTGCACTCACCAACAACAATAAGGATGAAAAATATAGTCATGCTGGATGATGTCTCCTCATCAGCCGATCCTTCTGCAGGTAACAGATTGTCATGTTCAGGAATTGGCGGTGTGGTTGGTTTACTTTTGTTCATGGATGGATTTAATGTTGATAACTTAACACTGAAACAAAATTTAATTTTTTTTAAAAACTAAAATCATGAAACAACACTGGTATGGAATTTGAAGGGAATCTGTTGTCATCAATAGTATGCAATTCAAATTAAATTTAACTAATTAGATAATAACGTTTTAGATAAAACAAAAGGTGTAAAGTATATCTCTAGGCCTAGGCTAGACCTGGTGTAAACATTAAATAAATAAATGTTTGTTGTAATTATTATACTGTAGTAATTAAAAATACCTAAAATACCAAAGTAACTAGGTTACTCTACCTAGAGTCCTATGCCTCAGTCCTGGCCAGGCTTGCCTTTATTTATCTATTATTGTGTACTAATATTAAGGAGGCACTATCTAATCTTACCTATTATTGTGAAACACAGAATCGTTATTCGTTGGTAGGTTCAGCATCGAAATACCTGCGTCACTGCCCGAAGTACTAACAGTTGAATGTAAACTTTTCCTAGGCCCACTAGGCGTCGAGGCATCTACGCACAAAGGGCCACGTACCACCACCAGTGGGCTGAGGCCTAACAACGCCCACAGACAGATATACGAAAACACAGTTGACAGTGAACCCATTTTGTACTTTAGTACAATACTTAAAATAGAAGATAATTAGTAATCAATCATATTATATGACCAAATACAGTTGGACATAGAAAGAATTGAAGCACCAAAACAAACACCACTCTGCCTTGCTATCCCCGATCTCACACATTCGCAACATTTGTAAACATGAGAAGCGCCCGCTACCGTCCAAATACTAAAAGACTTCTGATCATCCACTCGTCCTGGTCTCGTGTTGGCTCGGCTTCACTTCGATATATGTGCATAATTATGTGCATGATCGCTGCTAGCTCATGACCACTTTTGTTCATATCATGTTAAAACTTTTTTGTTTAATAATACTACTATTTTATTTAAATGATTCTTGGAGATAAGCCAGGGCAAACAAAACTATTGCTAATTATACTTCTACAATATAAATCACAAAAAGAATCCAGTTCAGCCAAGAGTCCTTGGTTCAGGTTTAGTTAAATGCTAAGACTCCTTTAGTTTCCTTAGTAGATAAACAGGTAAATCACTTTCCTTCTTTTGGCCTTATGGGTTTAGTCAAGCTATTAGCCTCTTCCAGTTCAGCCTTTCACAACGTTTTTGCTGAAAGTATTGATCGTTTTATTAATTGGTTTGAATCTTTTGTTTATTTGTTTGACCCTTGTTTGTGTCTTCCTCTGTTGCTTTTTGCTCTCTTCATGTGTTCTTTTAATGCTATCTTTGCCAGTGTCTGTTCTGGTAAATCACTATTACACCCTTATAAAACGATTCAGCATATCATCATCATTCCTCATTTTTATTCCTCATCTTAAATTCTATATATTTCTTTGTGTTTGTTTATCAGTAATAGGCAAATCTTCATATTTCATTGATTTGTTTACCTATCATCAAAGCTGATCCTATTCAGGAAAAATTAGTACAAATTATTACCATATGCCTTCATTATTACCAGTATAGTACACAATATCCTAATAAATTACTCTTATACATAAAGAAAACACAAAAGGAACAAAATTTCAAATTATCTTATTTAATTGGTTTTTTTTTGTTTCAAAATGTACTTGTTTATATCATTATTACTTTTTACAGCCTTTAAAAAATAAAGACTGAACGGGAAAAAAAAGTGAACCACAAAGAAAAAAAAGCACCCGAATCATAAAAATAACTTTGTATATAACCAATACACAAAAACGAAAAATAAAATAAATCCTTAAATAATACCCTATCTTTGTGAACAAAGTTAGATAATTTACAACATTTAACATTGTCAAATTCATTGGCGAACAACCCACTTAATAATACTGCTAACAATTTCTGAAAAGTAGGTAGATATTATTATCATGCAAGAATATTACTCCATGATATTAATACAATATTCATAATTACGAATTCATATCCTTTCATGTTATCTACAGCACACTTTTCCAGACACTAATAACTTTTAAAATATAATTCTCCGTGATTTATTTTAAGACAATGTTAAAAGTTATCCAAATAAATTTCATTATCCAGCAATGATTAATAAAACATTTCATTAAAACTTTTCAACTCAGACAAATTAATTCATTACCCCAGTTACTGCTTTAATTCTGTAATGTCTGCACATGTATATAGTGTGCTGTTACATTTACATTCTTTCAAATGACATCTTCCAAAATGTGTCGGTTTTATCTAAATAATTGAATTATACAATTGTTTCATTTAATTACCTATTACATTATTATTGTTCAGCTGACAGAAATTTCATCTAAACATAATTATTTCAAATTTTACTTTGATGGAGTATGTACAGCCAGAAAATTAATTATTACATAATCATAACCTTCCCATCATGCCACTGAAAAATGCATTTACATGATTTAAAATTTAAAAATTTATTTCAAAAATAACAAAATAGGTTTTGTATAAAAGTTTCATTTTTTATATTTGTAATAATTTGACAAGATTAAAATTTATATCAAATATTAGGACTAGATTAGTACTTTTACACTTTAAAATATTCCATGTGTAAATCACAGTAAAGCATGGACAACATTTTTCTTTAAATCTAATCCATTCAGGAGCAGATATGAACTTAAGTAAAGTGAAATGCGCCCTCATAAAACTTTATAAAAATAGCGCTTCTTTAACTTTTTGTGAAACATTTTAACATAAATATTGCTGATCAGTATCAACAAATACAACAAGCAATCAACACCTGGATTTTCTGCACCTGTACTGAAAGCCAGGTGGAAGCAAGGTTAGTGACATGAATCCAATCCAGCGAATTGGAAGGTTGCTCAGAATCAGCCAATCTATTCTGTTACCTGTCGGTCATTTTTTAGTAAGTGAAGCTTACGGAGGAAATTTCCGTTCTGCTTCTCGATGCAAACACGTTTCTGAGGACTCTCCTCAAAATCCATCGCTCGTTTTGTGTTCCTTTCCATTTTGATCATTGAGTTTATCTCCCGAAGATCCTGTTGAATAGAAAGATTTTGCAAATAGCTCAAATGATCTATAAAATGTGTAAAATAACTCCACTAGGGTGAGACCTTTTTCATACCTTGTTTCCCAAACTTATTGTTTTTAAAGATCGTCAGAGCAGGACGGAAAACAAATAAAAATAAAACTTTTCAAATAGTTTTGCCAAAAATATCCAGACAGAGGAAAAACAAAAATAACATTTTATTAATGAATGTAAACAATGTAGTAATGGGATTGTTAAATGCTTAATTAATTAGCCAAAAATAAAATTTTACTTTTATTCGAAATCACCACTATTGGTGGGCCCTGGGTTTTGCTAAACAATGTATTAAAGAAGTCTCGTCTAAACTATGGCTACCTTTCTCCAAAAGAAAGGTCACCAACTCTACACTGAGAGTTCACAATACATATGTTTTGCTAGATTTTAAATTCAAACTATTTATTTTTATATGAGAAATGTGAAGGGGATTAGAAAAATCTTGTGCACATCAGACCTAGAGGCTAGCAGAAACCTAGGGGAAAAAAATGCAAATTTTTTGAGATATTTTATTCGGTTTTCAGACATCTGGAATTTATTTTGCCCTATTTTTCCTGCTTTTTTGGACTGACCTGTCATGGTCAAAACTTGTGGGCCCTTAGTCTGTGTAAGGTGCTTTTACAAAACATTAAAACAAATTGAATTTACTATATACCTTGCTTGGACTCTTGTTGATGTGGAAAACAAGGCTGTTTCCAGGGCTCATCGGGATACAGTTCTTTCGGGGGGATATGTACAATTGGTGCCTATTGGACACTTTTCTTGGGGACACTTGGTGGGTCCGGACGATTGGGAGTGGTGAGAGGGTGGGATGTGCTGTTAGCCCATTTTCATCTTTGTTGTCGGCTGGAGAGAAACGGAGAGCAAATGGCTGAACTCTGATTACAAATATCTATAAAAAAAAAAAATTAAAAGGTAAATTAATTATAATATTAAATGGTGAATGTTGTTACAAAGGGAATGATCATTATTAGTAAACGTGAGTAATCAATATATGCGGCTTCCCATCCCAAAACCAGCGTACTATCGCTAATTGTTAAACTGAGTAATAAGCATAAGAATATGGCAGTATTGTATACTTTAGTACAGAGAAGCTGTAATACTTTTACTCATAACATTGGCAATAGTAAGTCAATGCCAGTAAATAACCCATCATTTTAAAGCTTACAATTTGGAGAATATGAATATATTAAAAAATCAATTTTCATTTTTTTGACACTGATACTGGTTTTTGGCATGGCAAGCCCCATATATAGAAACCCTTCAGCATCCAGCTAGAGCACAAGGCATTGAAATGGGGGAATTAAACTGGATGCCAAAGGTTATTGATGGATTTCCATGGTTCAGTGCCCACACAGTGGCTACCACCAGTTTAGTCAACTGATCTATGTTGCTTTTATCAACGTAAAATTTTTAGAACATAAAAATAAAAAAAATAAATATGCAATTGATACTTACCGAGTTGTAGTACTTAATTAGGTCTCCTCTCTCCTCATCTTCAAATGATGATGCGGTACCAGCCATCCTGGTAGGAGTGGGTGGGGCACTATTTGGCAATGATGTGGGCATCGTACTTGCAGAGCGAGCAAGTGTGCGGGAAAAAGGACCTGTATGATTGATTAAACATTGTTTAAACAAATTATCATGAGCCATGAATTACATGAATATTTAATAGTGTACTATACTGTGACTTCATTGATATTGTCTATATTTTTATTTATTTTGTTATTGTTACCAGAAAGTACATCTTGTCTTCTAATACTATGTAAATCAATCTGCCAAATTGTGTGCAAAATGACACAGCATCCCTATTTACCAGCAGTAATACATACATCAGATGCCAGTATAGAGTTTTATGTACAAGGGCTAATACTTTAGCTAGAACCTTCAGTATATGTTGTGATGTGGTTAAGTGTAACTTATCTTAAGTCATTTTGGCACCACCATGTACTGTAGCACTTAATGGTGTAACTATACTGTTAAAATGTCTCTTGGTATTTGCTATAAAAACGCATGAAGCATACTGACACACAGGCATAGTTATTGCAGTGCCAATCTCGGGGAATTCCCACATATATCCAGAAAAATGTATATATCTTTATGCTTAGGGTAAAAAATATGCAAAATGGTCATGTGAGGTGTATTATTGAGTACTCACTAAGAGAGTCTAACCTGTTTTCTAAGAGGCAATGGTTACTTTACGTAAATGTTGTGACATGAGTTCCACTACTCATATTATGACAATTGTAAATAGTTTTTCTTTACTTCAAATTTGGTTATATATTATAGATTCCATTCAATCAATCAATATCCTACCTCTGTTTTTGTCTGTTTCTGGTGAACTGCTATTACTACTCCCATTGTGGGATGTACCACTTGCACGACTTGAGCACCTTCGCCTGTCGCTTAGCAACACACTTCGGTAAACATGGCTTTGCGACTGTGGCTGCATTCTATAGCAGCGCATTATCTCTTGAAACTGACGATCATTTCTGGTCACCTAAAACAGCAGATATTTTTGTGGTTACAACTCAAAGTTGGCAGTGGTTCATTTTAAATAAAGATATGATATCTATAATTCTTAAATCCATTAAACTGAATCAATATGCAGTATCTTTAAACAAATAACATTCTAGAATAATAATGACTTTACATGATCCCATTATTATTTTTATTTCAAATCATTCTAAATATTTGAGATTGGATCCAGATGAATTTCATCAAAAACAAAATTCTGGTTTCCACCCTTTTTTACATTTTCTCCTTACACAAAACCTTTTACTATTTTCATTATTTATCATTTGAGTTTATGCATTGATGTGATATTATTATTGTTCAAATTTCACAAAAATTGTAACCACAATAAATGAAATATCCCTCATAAATAATGGTATAGTATATCAGTAATATTTATTACTTTCCCATTTGAAAGATATACCATTACGAATATAATACAATTAGGTCAATACACCATACATCATTCAATTTTACAGAATTATGTTTACATACAAACAGATGTCAAAGGTCATGATAAAGTTCAACCAACCTTGCATATAACGTAGATTGAGCACATAATAAGCTGGTCCAGATGTCTGTCCATCATTAGGTCACTATGATGGACGATGGCATGGACAAGACACGTCCAGATCTTACGACGAAGATCATCCTCGATTTGGAGTCTTGAGCACATGTCCAGTAAGCGAACATTTGCAAGGTGGTAGAGCTGACAGATTAAACAAATAATAATCAGTACTCAGTTCTATCATAAAAAAAAAATACTTTTGAATTCCCATATATGGGTATGATATGACATCATGATGCCCATATTTGGAGTGATATGATATCCATATACAGTATGGGAAATTCACTCAAATTAATCACACAACCAAATACAGGAAGCTTAGTGGAGGGTAAAATATTGAAAGCGGAAATAAAGTGAAGTCGAAATAAATGTACCTTTCTAAAGAAGAGTCCGACTGAGCCCGTCCTCTTGGGCTTCTTGGGGGCGCACTCTGTAGCAGGTTGTGCAGCTGGCTGTTCTGTTGCCACTGTAACTGGTGCTTGCGTAGTGCCTGATATTGCTACAACATTCGACTTGCCAACTTTGATTGGACTTGCTATTATTTGGATGGTACCATCTTTGTTATTCACAGCTGTAAAAATTATAAAAATATATTATTTTCTTATACCCCTTTTACACTGCCAGGGCAGAATAAACCTGTGTTAATTCCGGGGTGATCCCGGGTGCATTTCCCATTTCCATCGAAGGAAAAAGTTTGGGTTGATCCCGAGTTGCTCCCATTTTAAACCGGCAACGACTGGGGTTCAAATACCACCCTCAATTTTTGTTGCGATGGTGATCATCACTTCACTTGAGTTCCTCGTCGTCACGAAGCCACAATTATTGTCTATATTGAAGCAATGTACCTGTGTCTAAGCCTAGCCCGTTGTTAGCAAAGTTTAGGCCTACCTGACCACAGCTGTGGTAGGTGCCAGGTACGGCCTAATTCTGGAATCAAATTCATTGCTGTTTACACTGGCGACTCCGGAATGCACCAGGGTTGTCCTACACTGAATGCTTTCCACACGTCCATCCCGGAATGTTTGGCAACCTGAGTCAGACTTTTGGACGTTTACACTAACCACAACTCAGGAGATTTCAACCCTGAGTTGTGGTAAATCCTGGGTTATGTCCGGAATTTTGCTTGCAGTATAAAAGGGGTATTACTGTCATGATAATGATACACATCCGGAAAAAGTGTGGTGACCTCACGACCACAGGTTGGAGGCATCACATATTACATTGCTCACACCACAAAGTCACACAACAGATTATACTAGTTTGTGAAATTCCATTTTTTATTGAATGTAGTTGTTGCCAAGGACAGCGAATACTTTATGTTTTGTTGTTATCACAAACTAACACATTTGTGATTAATTTTTTATTTCAATACAACACATTGTGTTACTTCATGATGTGAGATGAAAGATTTTCATGAAGGCATTTAAAAAATGGAAATGATTATTTTTTGTTTGTATTGGAATAGAAATTCCTTAGTTTTTTTGTTGACTAACTGTAGACTTCTTATTAAATCAGGAACAAACGTGGACATTCAAACAGAAGTAAGACTGACATCAATACAATTTAGTTTCTGGCTTTGTTTTATTATACCTAAATATAAATTTTCAAACCACCATCTACTTACTCTGTACTACTTCGACCGTGACTATTTTTTCTTGTGGTTGATTTACACTGGTGATAATCTGCCCAGGTTGGACACAAGTGGACGAATTGGTAGGTGAAGTAGACTTGGTTGGTTCAGGTCCAAAAAGACGGCGTTTAGCTGACCCTGGAGCCGGGGAACTGAATCGATCATGTGCTGATACTGGGGAACCAGTTACAGGATCTGTTAAAAAAAATATTAGCATTAAATATAACATGTTTCAAATTATTTCACCAAGAAAAGTTAAGAAAAAATAAAGCAAAAAGCAGAAAAAAAACATTAAAATGTCTACCTCTTTTCGGTGGTTCTACGCCTGTAAGAGCTCTGATTCGTGGATGTTGCATAGGTGATCCAATCTGCGGTGGGGGAGGATGGCTGTTGAGTGTAGTCTGACCGTTGTCTATCTGACTTGGCAACGTGACGTCTTCACATGTGGGTACGCCGCCATCGTTAGATTCTCGGATAGCATCCCAGAGGGGAGAGCTCGACTTCCAAGCACATTCTTGTAACACAGCTTCCTCAACCTATCAACATAAATGAGTTACGTAATTATTATTGGCTTAGGTACAGCCAATTGCAGCAAAGACAGCTTAATTAAAGCCGATCATAGCATAGAAGGCTAAAGTAAAGCCATACACAGCGCAGACGACTTAGGTACAGCCGATCGCAGCAAGGACAACTGAGGTACAGCTGATCGCAGCAGAGGTGGCTTAAATACAGCAGATCGCAGTATAGACAGCTTAAGTACAGCAGATCACAGCATATACAGCTTGGGTGCAGCCAATTGCAGCATAGCTAGCTCAACTATAAAAAGATAAATTTTGGGGTGGGGAAAGGGGATCAAAAACAACACATTATATCCCAATGCAAGTCACTTAAAAAAAATCACAAATAATTTCTCGGCAACTTCAACTACATTGACATTAAATACTTAAATACTGGACTAAGCTGTTTTGTAAAATCTTACCGTGTTGAGGTGCTTGACTACATCTCGTGACAAACCATCCTCTGCTCGTAAGATCAGTTCAATGACCTTGTAAAAGTGGAATGCAGGGATCTCAAAAATATCTATAATCCATGGAAATGTTCTGTAATTGAGTAAACATAAGTTCATTAAAACTACAGAAATTCAAACAATAAACTGCTTCTTTTAAAATGCAAATTAAAATTGTAATCAAAGCTCTGTCCACACTATAGAGTACCACAGTCGTGTCATCACAACACCAGGTAGCGCCCTCTGTTGCCAACCAGATGTTGGATACCGTTCATTACGGTAAATGACTTCATAAGCTTTCTTGAATAGGCATTCTAAAATCTAATATTGCAACATAAAAATGTACTAAAAACACAAAATCTCGCAATATATTAGTTATCGAACACACATTTAATAATCAGTTGAAATTTACAAAGAAAAATTAAGATACAACATTTTAATAATTACGTTAGAAATTGAGCTCAATGGTTTGTCAGTGGCGAAAATGGTGTCCAGTTGCATTCATTTTGCAACAACAGAAACACAGTAGTATCATGTGGTATTGTGACGTTACACTGTAGTAATTTTGTGATAAATTTGTGTGATGTGCCATATATGGGCATGGTGTCATGCTACACCCAAACATGGACATTTGTCAGGTTCTGTCAAATAAGATTTGATAGTATTGAGAAAGGTTAAGTTTTTGGTTTTTGTACTGTTTTATGTACTTCAGTCCTTTATATAGCACACATTACAATTGTCTTTAAGTGCTTCAATGCTTTTATACAGTGCACATTATAACTGCCTTTATGTACTTTTTATAGTACGCATATTTTACAATCGTCAAGAAGTGCTTTGGTGATGCGTATGGCCACATTAATATTTTCTGCAAATGCTTCAGAGCTTTTATATAGAGCATATTACCATTTTCTGTAAGTGTCTTTAACGGTACTTTTATAACATTAAAATTGTCAAGTTACTAATAGTGTACTGGGCATCATCCTGCAAATTAACTTGTTGGCAGTGGTGTATCTAGAAGTCTTGAAATTGGGGGGGGGGGGGCTGATGGAAGGGTGTGAAGGTGAAGTGGGGATCCACTTGCACTTGCTTTGAACATTTCAATGGGGGAGGGGGGAAATGCATCCCCAAATAACCCCTAGATACACCGGATGCGGAAAAAAAAAATGATTTAAAAATATCGGATGCCTTATGAGGTTGAAATACCTACCTTTGAGAGTTGTATGAGAAAATGACAATCTCCAGACAACAAGCAAACAGTGATGTATGGAAAATATCATGTTCCAGCAAACTCTGAAAAAAAAAAGTTGAACATTCGATCCTGACAATATGGGGCTTGCCATGCCAAACCAGCATGTATATAGCAATATATATTCATATATTCATATTCTCCACATCATAAGCTTTAAAATGATAGGTCATTTACTAGAATTGACTGACTATTGCTAAAGTTATGAGAAAAATTTATTATAAGTATAAACAAAGAGTATAAATAGAACAAGAGAGCAAAGTCCCGTTCGTCAAAACGTCATGCCTGTGTAGGACAACCACTAACGGTCGTATATTCTTTTTATTACCCAGTGCAGCGCTGCGCAGCGCGGTAGAAGTACGCCCGCTATAAACTCAGTAAGCAGAAAACAAAAGTACAGTATCTTGTGGAGAACAGATAAACAGACAAACCTACCGTGCGCACTGGGTAATAAAACACATACAAGCGTTAGTTGGCGTCCTACACTAGCTGCGTAGAGCGTATCGTTTTTTTACGCTCTCAATGAGCGTTGTTGGCTCTCTTGTTCTATTTATACTCTTTGGTATAAATAATTAGAATAAAATATTTCATTGCCAAAAATAGTCTTGCGATAAGGTAGTTAGTTTGTAAAGCCCTGGATTTAACCGTGCTTTAGCACTGGATAGAAATAAATTAAAGTATGCCATTAAGTAATCCAGTCTAACCCATGCTAGCATTGAAATTCAATGTTTAAATTGAATGACGATGATATTGAAATTAGCTATTTATTGTTTAAATTGAATTTTTGATATTTTCAAGATTCAATGATAGACAATTAACACGATTTTTTAAATATGATTAATATTGCTGACCTCAACAAACTTATTGCAGAACGTTTCACCCATCAGTTTTATTCTATCTGTGATGGACTGTGTCGGGTTAGTACTGCATTCAGCAAATATCACCTTCAGCGTCTCACTCGGGCAAGTCTTCAGTCCTGTTAATAACGCCTGCAGTCGGCTGACGCTTTGCGTAGCTGTGGAGACAGGCGTGTTCTTGGCATGTTCTTTTTCCTTTAAGTATTTCTTGCCTGTGAGAGGGGTGTGTGGTGCAAGACTTTTGGTCTACAGAGAAACAGAGAGATAATAAAATGATGTATATGAATAAAATTAAATTGTTAAATTTAATATATGCACAAAAATAATGTAGGAATCTCTCAAAAATGAATTTAAGAGATAATTTATAAAAATCGTAATTTAACTGCACTACACTACAATATCACCTAATAAATGTACAAAACGAGCACATTATAAAATCATTTACAGATTGTGAATCATACAAAAATTAAAACCTACATTTAAAAAAATTGAAATCCCAAAACTTACATTCTTTTTCAAGACATATTTCAGTAGTGACATGCTACTGGTAGTAGACGATAAGACAACTCCCGAACAATAACCCTGTCATACATGCTTGCAGTTGCACAATGTCGTATGATTACACACATAGTTATGTTTCAGTGAACACTTTAATATTCAATATAAGCCATGCTCATACGATGCTCACTCAACCGGAACCTAACACCTGGGGATTCCCCTAACAACACCTCATGTCACGCATGAATGCACTGGGACAGTATATGTTGGCTTTCGCGTGGCTAGATCTGAGCGCTCTGGCGCCACAATGGCTACATTTATTCGCTTGGTCAATAAAGTAATCAAACTATCATTTACCAAAAACAAAAGATAATAGAAAGATGAACAAAAAATTATCATTTTATTTTATGCTTGTCAACCTTACAACTTAATGTCAATAATGAAGCGATTATAATGGCATTATTCAATCATAGAAATATAAGCAGAATACCAGACAGACCATCAGTAGAATGGCGTCTATGCGGCATCCGAGTGAAGTAAGTATAGAAATCCTTCAGGATTAGAACCGAAAGGCGACAGAGGTGAAAAATGTCACCGCAACATAAGCACTTTATTATACTAATCAACTCATGAATATCAAATGTGTATGGATTTTATCGATGCAGGTAGTCCAGAAATGTTTATAATACATAGGCCATTCTAGGAAATGATTGTAATTTAATCTATTTGCATAATTATATATATTGTTAGTTTTCTTTAGTCATTTTTGTGTGCTTGACGCTGGATAAAAGAGCACAGAGAGACCTTGCAGTGTGGTATACGCTATAGAAATTGAAGACAATTACCATTGATTGTACTGTATTTTACTGAGACAAAATAAATGAACATCTTCACTAGAAGAGCCACCTTCTAAAATTCAATAAAGATTAAGACTGTAAAATATAGACCACTTTTGGGACCTGGGTTTCCATGGTTGCTTTGGTCTCTAATAAGAATAATAAAGATGAAAATATATGTTAATATGGGACCACGGGTCTTTAAATGGAAGTAGCCTTTAATTGGAGAGGTCTTTATTTAAATGAGACCTATACTATCTGCTAAATACTTAATTTTTTTCATTCTGTACCTAATTTTGTTTTAGTGGTAGCCTGGTCTATTTTATTTTTTTTTTCTTTTCACATTATGTCTACTATTTTCCAAGCATTATATAAATCTTAATCCATCTTATATCATTACCTGATCAAATGGTAGCTTAAGGTTCCGTTTGGCTTTCATCTTTTCTTCGATGCTCGCTGTTCCTACTTTGGCCGGCGTTCCGATTTCTTCATTAGCATCATCGCCAAGGAAGATGCGCTCATCGAAATCACCAACAGTTAACACATACTCTTCATACGTTTTGTTGATATTTTTACTGAAAATTTAAAAAAAATATGAAACTCTTTCATTGCCATGATCTAGTATCTAGTATTAATTCTATTTTCACTGATAGCTCTTTTCTAGATTTTCCCCATACTAGCTTTGTCTGGAATGGTGATGCAAATGACTGTTATTTATGACTAATACATTCACTCATTCTAAGGCTTTTTTATTATGATAATGTTGAAAGTGAATTGTAATACACTTATTTATATGTTAGACATGAGTTTCGTGTACAAAACCTTAAACACAGGATTTAGTTGAAAATGATGAACACATCATGAATCATGAGGTACACTAAAATCATTTCTTGACGCAGCTACAAACTTTTCGGGAATTATATAATTAATTCTACTTAGGCGAGACTATTTTTATACCTGGTTTCGCTAACTAATATTTTTAAAGATCGTCAGAGGAGGGCGGAAAAAAATTTAACATCCAGACAGAGGAGAGAATAAAAATAAAATTTTATTGGTGAATGCAAACAGTGTAGTATTGGGATGGTTAAATGCTTTATTTTTATATAATTTTTTTTTTTTTTCGTGGCGAGTGTAGGTGCGCTAATTGGCCAAAAATAAAATTTTATTTCTATTCAAAATCATCATTCTTGGCAGGCGGCGGATTCAGTGAACAAGGTCTTGTCTAACAGTTGTTTTTTAAACACTATGATTATAATACTGAAAAATATAAAAAATAACATACTTATTTAATAATTGAAATATAAGCAATGAAGGCTAATCAAATTCAATTTATTGAAAGGACATTTAATGCTTTTAACTATTTTCATCCCTTCTTTTATTTTCTTGTATATTCATTTATATTATTTTTAGCAAACCTTTTGTGAGATAGTACTTAAATTGTATTGAAAGACCTTACCACAATACAGTAAAGGATTGTATTGTATTGTCTTAAAGGGACTATTCCTTTCAATAGGCTTCTTTTTAACCTTCCCCATGAGTCTGCAATTATTACCACCCTCCGACCCGACCCGACCTGAACTTGTCCCTACCTGTTGGTTTCAAAGTAGACGCTGTCAATTATTCCACTTAGCTTTTCTGCATTTCCCTTTAAGCTCTGAAAAAAAAAAAAAAACAATACAAAAAAAAAAAAAAACAAGTTAACAACCTGATCCCATTATATCACAAACAAGTTCCAATTAAATTAGGTATGTTCAGACAGCCTAGCAACTGAAGCCCATTGACAAGACACATACACATATACCCCTGTCTCTTATACACATCTAGATGTGTATAAGAGACAGGTTCTACAGCATATTAAAAAAAAAAAATTCCCTCCGGAGACTGGCTTTAAACGTACAACCATTATGCTCTAATATGAAAAATATGAATTTTTTATAGTGCGCATTTAAATGTAGATGAGTCAAATTTGAAGTTAAGCTGTAGGTGCACAATTGTACATGATATATTTTTATTATGCACAATTGCACTGCTCTTGTAAGATTCAACCAAGTTTCAATACTCACAATAAACTTATCCACTTGGGATAAACGGCCTGGTTATTTTTCCTGGGCAAAATTTACTTGGTTAAGCTTAACCCTCAGCTTTGGAAATTTCATCAAGTGAAATGCTTCACAAGCTATTTGCACTGGACATAGTTTTAATTAAAGAATGTTTATGCGATAAAAACCTCAAAAAAAAAAAAAAAAAAAAAAAAAAAAAAAAAAAAAAAAAACAAGTTAACAACCTGATCCCATTATATCACAAACAAGTTCCAATTAAATTAGGTATGTTCAGACAGCCTAGCAACTGAAGCACATTGACAAGAGACATACACATATACACCAATGTTACTTTAGATGTGTACCATTGTTAAATAAATATTTTTAAAATCCCTTGGCATTTGCTGTACTGTACAATTTGCAAAATAAGAAACCCAACTTCTTCTTACCCTTCTTTCAAAGAGTTTCTTAATGTACGGCTTCCACCAGTGTTCTTTAATGCCCTTTGCCTCAATCACAAGCCCATCGTGGAGCTGACACAGCTTCTCAATGATGCAAGGTGCCTGTGCAGGCACACGGTAGTCACTGTTTTGGTAGCTTTCTGGCAGACCTAGGAGAAAATCATAACAACAAGATTGTATTTTAATGAAGCTGGCATAGCGCATTGTCACAAGTATCATGACGAGTGGTGGCCCCCAGGAGGGGGATTATCCCCTCCCCCCAATTATCAGTGATGGCTCCAGAAACCTGCTGACAGGGGTCCGACAAGAGATTTCAACCAAGAAGCTGACTAAAGCCCTTGTCAGGGTTCCAGAATAAAAAACCCTGGTATGGTTCTATATTGAGAGTTTTTTTGGCATAGAGTTGTATGGCACAAATGTTGTTCAAAACCTCAATATTAGATATTGGGAATCAAAATAATGTTATTTGGAAGCAAATTAACACCCCACCCCCACTAGCACCACCATTTGCCCGTCTGATGCCAAGATAATAATTGCTAGACTAATATAAACAAATCAGTAGCGATGTTGGTAGTCTATGAGTAGATACTTGCCTGGATAAACAGACTAATTTCCTAATCTCTCCCAAAAGAGAACACCCCTTGAAACGGAAACCGGCCTTGGCGCCAAGCACAAGCAATCCTGCAACCATGCATCATCCTCATTATTTTTCAAAAGATCTTGTTGTTCTTTACACTCTATTCTAATCACAATATGTGACCCGTAACAGTAAAATGAAAATGACTCACTTTTGGATATTTACGCAATTTCGCACAACGAAGCTGAGATAATCGCGATTTCGTGAATGTAAATCAATACCACTCTACGCTAATGTAAACAAACTAATAGTGAAATACTTATGGTCCAGACTGAATATAGTGTTCAAATTTTTACTAAATGTTGGTAATTACCCTATTGGATTTCGTAAAAAAACCTAAAACACGGAGATCTCCGTCTTTAGCAGTCAAGCGTTGCGTTACCAAACACGAAGATCTCTGTGTTTGGCGGGCAGAGTGTTAAACATGAAAATGTTGCAGTATACTTAGCCAATATACCTTCAAATGCCGGATTCAGGAGCTCTCTCCTGTTGGCAAGAAGTGCATTGGTGAATATCAAGTCCAGACAACAAAGGAGAAGGTGGTACGAGTTCACAAGGTCATCACTTATCGCAGGGAAGTTACCTGAAAACAAAGGTGTGAAAACAATTATTAAATTGCGGATATGTTTACAATGTAATATTTCACGCTCCAGTTTCCACAGACGGGCTACTACTAATGTACTTTCGATAATGAGAAGGCACACAGGGTATGTTCTCACCTGCAAGTTTAATAACTGAACATGATACTGAAACTGAACTGTATATGGCCAAAGGATAATAATATCCATAAAGTACGAAAAACAAGTTGACAAGTAATAATACATTATCTCTATTATCTTTAATACATTATTATTTAATTACATGTGGACAGTAATTTGGTCAAACGTAATCACTGTTATTAATAACAAGGGCAATAACAACACACATACTGCACACAACATGAAACTACATGAACTAAATCATTTTATAGCACTTTTCTTTCAATTTGTGGTACAAGTGTTACATATTCATTTTTTTCTTCTTCTTCTTCTTCTTCTCATGAAACTAACTGAACATCTTATTATGTTAATAACCAAGCATATACCGGTACACATGTCCTAAAAACACATGCACAGTTACATACTTGTACAGTGATTAAGTTGCCACGCCTCATCAACAATTCCAAGTGGTAGGGCCTAGCGGAAAGAGCCAATACAAATGATTGGTCAGCTATGACTTGCATGAACCATCCTCTTAAAACACTGCTGAATATAATAAGTAAATGGACATTGGTTTGTGGTAAGTCTTCTGCTAGAAATTAATCTGTGTATGAATTAGTATGTAATATCCTAACGCAGTACTTGGAAAGCGGACAGGATTATCCCAGTATCCGACTGATGGCATTGGACACACCTTTAAGTCGTACTACCCTCACATTTGACAGAAAACAGAAATTATTATTTTTTATTATTATTATTATTATTATATTATTATTTTACTATTAAAAATAGGGATACAAAGTTTATTGTTTTCTATAATTTATATCTTTAGAATTTCGTATGTGTCTATTTTAATTATTCCATAATTTCAGATTGAATATTGATGCGATAGTTTTTCCATTCTAATGATACAGTAGCTTCTCAGACACAAGACTTGCTTAGAAAATTATTCACTTGAATGCTTCAGTGATCTATATTTTTGTCTCTGAAGAATGCATTGTGGACTGTAAGTTGACATTAATGAGCTTTGAACCCATGACCATGGAATTAAAAGATGAGTACCATCCACCAAACTACTCGTGATGATATTTAAGATTCAAATTTTTAATACCACTAAATTTGTTGTTAATTTTATAGTAGCATTAACACAATAATATTACTACTACATGCATGATGTGTATGCTGCTACATCTAGGTTGTAGCGCTAGATTGAAGTGCTGACCAGCAGTATAATATTAATAATCCATTAGGAATTATGTTATATTAATTATTAATCCAACTAAATAAATTTTCCTGGATTCTGCCTTCCAGAAAAAATCATCGGAATACAGAGCAGTAAGATTAAGAATATTAATACATTATTGCCGTCATTGGAATGATACCTAAGGGGGAGGGGAGAGAATTCCATATTTTGCTGCATGGTCTAGGTTCAAGCTGCCTTGTAAATGTGTTTTGTTTCTTGATTCTTTGTTCTTGGTGGGGTGTCTGTTAGTTAAAAATGTACTTTTGATTGTCCTGCCTGTAGTTTCGTATTTTTAGAGCTTATATTATATATTTTATGTCCATCCTGTAAGTGCGATTTTTCGCTGTTGATTTGGAAATAAGTAAAATAAAAAAATTTAAAATATGAAAATTAATCAGTGAAATTTAAATTCGAACCTCCTCAGGTACCCACTTATACTCCTGGGAGGAGAGGAGCAACACAGACAAAGTGCTTTGCTCAAGGACAAGCGAAATTCACAGCAAGGGATTGCCACCCCGACTTTGAGGTTGGGAAACCAAACTGCTCCCGCATCATGCCAAACCGCTCCAACATAAGATTAAGATCATATTATGGCTGAAATCTTCCTAGACTAAATCAATACAGCCCTATTCACTAACAGTAAATATAATTGACCCCAGGGGTCATACAGTAATAACTGTCAACGTATAAGATGGTTTTACAGAACTGTCAAAAACTGATCAGCAACTATAAATCCTTCTAGTATTTGTTATGATTTGCTCCATTAAAATGTTCAGCTTTGGGAATTACAACAAACATAACCCAAACAGATCAGAAAGCACTCAACCTTTTCTGCTAGTTACCTTGTACTGCACTGTATAAACAAGCGTTTGATTAAAATTGTAATGACATTGATAATAAAACTAATATTATGCCCCATACAAAAATATAAACAAATAAATACACTCTCTACTGGTTGAAAGCCAGTCTAAGCAAGTCTTGAAACTTAAGACATGGATTTATCAGCAAATAAAAAAAAACAAAAATACAGCAAATTAAAAAAAATATGATTCTCATTGATACTATGGAATATATTCTCGTTCAAATGTCTCATGCCTTAAACTGTATACATAATTAAATAAAAAAAATCTCATCATATCATTTGCGTGACTAATTCAGTAAGTTATATCAACAAAAAATGTCAGAGCTCAACTTAGATAAACATTAAACATACAATTACAAGTGAAAGGCTGTTTATAATGATTATCCGAGTGTCATTAAGCTTTATTATTCAAGAGAAAATCTATTTTTAAAATTAATGTTTTCCAAAAAAAAAAAAAAAAATGAATACTATACAATATATTACTTTTTCATTTTTTAATAATTTTAGTTTTGTGCTTCAATGATATTATCAAATGACTTAAAATTTAAGGATGGCTAAGTGTTGTCATGGTTTGCATTATTATTATACCTGGTGCTGTACCCGAATGTACAGTACAGTCGTGAAATATTGCACTTTTACCTGCGCGCAGGCTTCGTAGATACATCGTAGCCTGATATAAACAATCTAACCTGCGCGCAGGCTTCGAAGCCTGATATAAAC